GACTATATATATATATATATTGGCTTTTTCTTAACTACTAAATCCAAAGTACAATTTAACTACTAAATTTAAATTTGTCAGTTAACTCAATTTCAGGCTATTTGAAATTCTAATGCATAACAATTATATTCTTAAAGGATTACTGGAAAAATATGTAGTTTATTGTTTGTATTTAATCAATGCTTGATAACTTACCATAGTTTCCAAAGTTTATTCATATGATATTCTTCTTTGCTATGTGTGTGTGTTTCTAAATATTCCTATGTAACCCTGTTTCTGAGATTGTTTTATTCTTTCCTGAACCTTGTTCAGAATGTATGTAGCTGAGAATGCTTACTTTATTCTTTTTTTTAAGTCTTAACCCTCCAGTAAGTTTAGAAAGAAGAGATGTATGTTTTGGTTTGAAACTGCTTGTGACTTATACAGAAATAGCACAAGAACAGAATTAAGGAAATCTCTTTTTTTTCTAACAAGCTTCTATCTAATTTTTCAGTTCTTTGTTTAAATTATTTGAACATTGCATTAACTAAATTCTAACAATTCCTTAATCAATTAATCTGTTTTCATATTAGTAGTTGAATAAATTCTAAAATGTTTTACATGTGGCACTGTAGTGATTTTAAATGAATGATCATTAAATGGAAAACAGTATGGTGTATATACCATCATTAGACATTTTGATTTATATGATGTACATTATACAAACATGTCCTCTGTGCCATAAGGAGATAAATAGGTGTAACCTTTCTTTTTGTGTGGTGAGAAAATTGTTTTTATGTATCAATTACTTATAACTTCTATTTTATAAAGTGGATTAATAGAGAAGAAAAAGAAAACGTTTCATGTCTGATCTTTAAGGCTTAGCAACACCACTGTAACTAACATTGAGATTCTGATTATCTCCTTTTTGTTGTTGTTAAAGTATAAGTTTCCTTGTTCTTTGTACAGTTGTTATTGTAATTCATTAAAATTGAAGAAAGTATAAAGTATTTTGCTTCTGTGCATGTAAACTTCAAAGTAATTTCTTTGTATATGTATTCTAGTCTGTATAAAATCATAACATAATGTTTAGGGAATAACAAGGAACCTATTAGTCACCTTGGCTGTCCCATCTTCTAAACTAAACTAAAACTATTATATAAATAAATTTACAACCAGTCCTTATTTGTATAGTTATCAAGCTTTCTCTTAAACTCACTTAAATTTACTGCCTCCACACTATCCAAAAGTAACCTATTACAGAGGCCAACTACCCTGTTAGAAAAATAAAACTGTATTAGCTGAAGATTACTCTTACCTTGTCAAAATTTATATTTATGTCCCCTAGTCCTACTATTCTCTGGAGAAAGATGATGCATCAACACTATCAATTCCCTTTGCAATCTTAAACACCTCAATCAGATCCCCTCTAACTCTTCTTTGTTTTCAAGAGAAAACAATTTCAAGGAGATTAATCTCGCTTCATATGACAACCCCCCTCCACCCCAGGCACCATTCTAGTAACCATACTCTGAACCCTTTCCAACAATTCCATGTCTTGCCCGAGGGAAGGAGTCCAAAACCGTACACCAAAAGAAATAAGATATGCGTAAAGAATGGTCTCTATTCATATGTTTGATACATAGAAATAGTAGGAGATACAAGTTGATATAGAATGTTGATTAAAGTGTTATTCACCTGGCTTAGGATATGCAAATCTTTTTTTGACTTATAATTATGCCCTTTCTTCTTTGCCACAGAAATGGGTAATTGAAAAAAAAGCATGTTCCTTTTGTAGGTATACTGTACAGGTAAAGGTTCGGATCCTTAGTACTAATACAATTATGTACTTATTGGTATTACTTTGCAATCTTTCATTTTAAAACATTAAGATAACTCCATATTTTATTATTAATAATTCTTTAATTTGATTTGCACATTGCTTGTCCTTATTTTGAACTTCATGCTGTTTGATAGAAAGCTCATTAATATTTTTAAGAACAAAGCTTAAACATACTTCTCTGTATCTCTAGCAGTTTATGTATATGACACACTGTAAGGTTAAAAACTGGAAGTCAGCAGAACTCATTTTGGATTTTTTCATGTTTCCTGTGCTATCTATTAGAAATGTTACTGTTACAAGGCTATGAAAGTCATGTTTGGTAAACTTTCTCTTTCCTGGCATGCATCCTTTTATTAGTTGCTCAGTTTTGCCTCACATACTGTGGATGATCATGCTTTTGCCTATTATCATTCCAAATTCACTTATTTTGGACTCACAGTTTTTGTTGTCACTTTTTCCTTAGTGGGGTTGGACCCTGATAATTCAATTACCTTTTCCCTTATTTGTCTTACTCTGATCTTCTTTCTTGGATCAGGGCTGGTGGGGGCCAGACTCCTTCAACTTGCCCATGTTTGAAGGTCCTTGGCAGTTGATCTATGGGTCCTGAAAGTTGTTTTAGTTAGTTTGGTCCTCTACATCCATTCATCTCCCCTGTTGTCTCACAATCCCGGTTCCATCCCTCATCGGGATCCTGATTTTTGCCTGCCTGATTCGTTTCAAGGGCCTTTGTTTCCACCATTATGTGGATGTCTGGTTGCTTCTTGCCTCCTCACAAGATGACTTAGTCCTACATCATCAGTTTCTTCTCCAGGATGCTATTATGGTGGGTTGGCTTGTCAAAGTAGAGCAGTCTTTCCTCACACCCAAACAATTTTTTTGTTTTGTGTGCTGTGTGTGGTGTCCCAGATGTGGATGCTTTTGCCACTCTTCTCAGTACACCTCTTCCTCATCCTCTGGCAGGATTTGATGGGTTGTAACCTATATGCATATCCTTCCACATGTCCTTGCCATACGTCAGACCACTCGATGTAGTGTTATGATGGTGGCTATGTATTGGTGGTTTTCACTGCTGAGGCAGTTTTGGTGTGATATCCTCTTTCTTTTCCTTTACTTCCAACACTCCTCTGTCAGCCACATTCCGGCAGTGTGTTGTCTGGCTGTATCTGCACTCCGTCTTCATATGTGGCTTTGTCCGATCCTTTGCCTGAAGGTCTGGTCTATTGTGTGTAGCTTTCTTTGTTTCTCAACCTGTATGTCCTTCTCCCATGGTGGTTTACCAACATATGTGGTACACGTACCACTGTTGGCTTGTCCTATAGGGTTATCATCCTTCAAATCCTATGGTTCATCACATACCGTCCTCTGTGCTTTGGCTTTTTGAATGGAACCTTTCAGTTTCTTCTGTTGTGGGCTGTAGGGGGGGGGGTGTTATCTGCCACTTTTCTGTTTACTTACTTTGGTTATGTCTCCAGTTGCCAGTTTTATCCATGTTGTTTTGATCCTTTTGCTTTTCCCATCTTTCCAACCCTGCTTCCCTTCCTGATTAACACCTCTGTTTGGTCCTCCATGCTCTTCCCTGTCCTGCATTGGACCTTTTGTCTTTATTATATCACCTTTCCTTGAAGTCCCTGTTCCTGCTCTTGTTGGCATGCAAATGTTGTTATTCTGATGCCTTCTTTCCTGATTGGTCCTTTATAGCCAAGACTTTGACTGCTTGAGAGGGTACTTCTACTTTCACTCTTTTTGCCCTTCCCTTCATTTGCCACCTTTATGACTGTTTTGATCTCACCCACTTTCTTTGCCCAGCCATGGCTCTTTGATGATACATGACACGTTCTGCTCCCTTCCGTGGTTCCCGAGTCCATTTGCTTCTTCCATGAAATTCTCATCTCTTCTGTGACCTTTTTCTCATTACCTTTCTGGGTTGAATTTGCTAGTTAATTTGCCTGGTGTTTTTATTCTCTTTCTCCTATTATTGTTGCTATCTTCCTGTTTTCTTCTCATCAGATCTTTCACCCTACCATGTCCATCTTCTCTTGGGAGACATCATCAGTGCTGTAACTGTTTACCTGTTAGTGGTAAGTACTACATTCATTTTCTTTGTAGGGTCCTTTATCACATATTTGGATCTCACTAGGTGGTAAATACTGCCTGACCAGATATACTTAGTACATTATTTCTGTAACATTTCTTGGGGTCCTTTCTTTCTTTCTTTTTGCCCTTTTAGCGGCTCAATACTAATGGATGAAGAGTATACCTGGGTCAGAATTGGTGTGGTCTCCCTTGGGTGTATTGTTTTTAGTTACTTTTCACACTCTATGGTTTTCCTTTAGGTGCTTCCTTAAGGGCGATCATCTTCTTAACGGCTGTCCACCTGTTCAAGATGGGATTCTAGCTTTTTGAGAGATATTGTATTGGAAGTAAACATTTTCTTAAACTGAATATGTATATTTGATAGATATTAACTCTACCCACATTTCCACCAATTCTCCCCTCTTCTGGTGTGGTTTGGTGTGATCTGATCACTCTCGAAATGGTTAACAACTGCAAGATTAGAGAAGGTGCTAGTTATGATAGGGGTAGTGTCACATTCCTATTGGTTGAGGGTTGCTGCATAATCATTTGCATGTTAGTATACAGAGATAAGTGGGTGCATCAAGGCTAATGGGAAGCGAAAAATGTGCACTGATAAGAGGGCAGTATAAGTTGAGAAATCTTTTTGTGAGATGAGGTTAGCATCTATCAGAAATATATTTTCAGTTTAAGAAAATGATAACCTTCTTGATTCTACATCTGATTGCATTGAATGTCAATTTTTATAATGTTATTTGGTTTTTACTGTTTCAAATTATCCTGTACAAGACTTTGACAAAGGTGATCTGAGTGGTGAGTTTGTATTTCATTATTAGATTTTGAGAATAATGTTGCATTACACTTTTGAATGCATTCATTATAGTTTTGACTGATTCAGCTAATGTTCTTATGGAGTTTTGACATCAAGATAAACCAGTTGAATCATGTATGTGAAATTTCAAGTTGTTGATAACTCACATTGTGAGGCATGATATTTTATACATGGAAAGAGCAGATGCAGTGCAGATTAGAGTTTTGCAATCTAAAGAATTACCTGTGAGCAGTGATTACATTAATTAGTGTTACATAATGTAATCAATTAATCAAAATTACAAATCAATTAATGAAAATGAATGTTTCTAGTTATTACTGTTTTTATTATTCCAACAACTGCTCAATCAAAAATCTGATTATACGGATTGCCACAAAAATAATCAACTAATCAAAATTAGTGTTTTTGATTATTTTTATTTTTGATTATTTGAACCATCCAAGTAATTGAAATATTTCTACAGCTGCTCATCCTGTTTTTGTTATGGCAAAGCTACTAAGGCTATCTGCCACTGTTGGTAATTTTGATCTTCTGACTAGAGGAAAGGTAACTGTCAATTTTTTTTTTAATTTAGCCATCAATTAATTGATTAGCAAATACCACATACCATTCAGCTCTAGTGCCCACATAACTGTGAGAGGAATTGTGGTTTCCCTTCAGTTTTGACATGAAGCATTTGAAAGTTAACATGGAGATAATGCATGAGAATAATATCTAGTAAAATATAATTACATGAAGTATATACATTTACTGCAGAAGTAATAGACGAAGAAAATCTCAAGTGTTATTGTTCTGTTTTGTACTCAAATGTAGGCAAGAATTGACATGTTGTTAACACAGAATTCAGAATTACAAATGGCTTTGGCTCATCAAGGTGAAGACATGATAAAATCTACAAATGAATTTCCTACTGACAAGGAGACTATTAAAAAGAATGATTTGGTGAGTCCATTAGTTGTTTATTTTATTTGATCTAGTTTAAAGAAAGACTATTGTAATTCCAACATAATTAAAAGCAGTATGAATGTATCACTTAAATGTATATATTTACATACTTATTAAGAAGTTTATTTTATCTTTGGCCAAGATGCAAAAAAGATATGAAGTTAAAGATGTTTCATTGATTTATTTATGTTTGGTCAGATTGTTTCTCTCTCAGCATCTGTCAAGCAACTACAGACAGAACGAGACTACCTATTGCATCAGCTCAAAAACCAGAAAAGCCAAAGAGGTAATTTAAACTCACAATAAACATCTTAAAAATGGAATTACGTTTGGTAAACTTAAGTACTAAAAGTGTTGCTATAGCATTACTATTCCTGAATAAATTGAAATTGTCATAGTGAATGGTTTTATACGTTATAAACCTTATCAAAGGTTCTTTTTAATAATTAAATTTCTGTTACTGTTAACAAGTTTTAAGGTCTAAGGTTTGAATAGAAAGAAGGAAATGTTAAATTTAAAAACATTTTGCTGGATTTTGTTGATAAAAGTAACAAAACATAGTAGCAATTTATAGAATGTAATTTCAGACACTTATTATGTTTACTTAAAAGTAATTAGCTAACTTTTGACTGAGAAGCACTATTTATATAATTATGCTCTTAAACAAAAAATATCTAATCCTGTGTAATAAAATTTAAGTTTGAAATGTTCATGATCATATTTTGTTTGGACATGTGTAATATTAACTATTTTATACTTAATATAATAGAAGAAACATGAAAATGAATCTATACTCAAGATCTCAATATTTTTTTTTTAGTATCTAATTTCATTTTGAAAACCTGGTAGAAGATATGCTAACACCCACATGTAGTTGAATATATTATATCACCTATGAGATCATTCATTATTATACTTGTACCTAGATATATGGGGTGTCCAATAATTTTGGAAACACTTGAAAAATCAAACTGGGAAAACCATTTCACAAAGAGACACACTAGCTTCGTTTTGAATTTACTTCCTGATTATAAGTATTATTTTATTACAAGTTACAGCTTTTACTGTAAGGAAAAATATTTTTAAAACAGGTATGACATTTTGGTCACAGGTGCAATCATTCAAGTATCCAAGTTTAAATGGTTAAAACTTGTGTACTTGAAAATGATCCTGGTTAAAACTTGTACACTTGAGAATGATCACACCAGCGATCAAAACGTCATACCTGTTTTAAAAACAATCTTCCTTACTGTAAAAGATGTAACTTATAATAAAATAATAAACACTGTTTGTTATACATGCAAAAATAAATGTTTATGTTTTTCTACAGTATACAATCATCATAGTTTAACATGTGCACAATGAGTTGCTTGCAAAATATCCACTCTAACCAATTTCTTGGGAAGTGTTTTACAACATTGCAAGAATAGACTTTGTAAAGGCTTCATGGAACAGTATAACCTATGTCCTTTATAAAGCCCCATAAAATAAAATAAAAAAATCCATTAGAATAATGTCCAGAGTATGTGGGGACCAGCTGATTAGGCCTCCCTGCCCAATCCACCAGCTTTCTCCTCTGTTATTATCATTTTGTTTCAGACTGAAATCATCCACTTATCAGACACCTAATGTCATAATAAATACTTTTAAAAACTTTAAACATTATTCTTTTCAGTTGTAAAAAATTGTGTGTCTCTATGTTAAACGGTTTTTCTGGTATGATTTTTCAAGTGATTATAAATTCTTAAATATACCACACATGTATATATATATGACAGAATACATTACTCTGAATAGAAGTTTCTAAATACAGTATTCATTTATTCCAAGGATTCTACTTCATATGTTTTCCAGACATGTTTATGAAAGTGTAGTTAACTACAAATAGATGTAGATGAAGTATGAAATAACTTCAGTTTCTTCCATTTTTATTCTGTCACAGAAACAGATATGATTCCTAAAAGAGACTACGAACCAAGTAAACATTTCCATAAGCAACTTGAGGTATGTTTAAATGAAGGGTGAAGATAACAAGCCTATAACATAACTTCACATGTTCTTTAATTGTTTTATTATGTGTACTTTGCCTAAATCATCAAAGTTAAGGAATTATTGAGGTTTGCTACTGAGGATTGGTATAGTTGTGCTTTTAATTTCTCTGATATACTGTAAGTAAATCTGAAAGTGGTTTAAAAGTAAATTTTTAACTGAATATCTTTGAATAAGCTAACACTGCTAAGTGAGGGTGGAGATTATTTGTTTCATGAGAGGAAATAATTGAGAAAAAATAGAACTTATTTAATATTATATGGTTTCATCAGGAAGAAAATTATGAAGATTTTGAAAGAACCTTTCTCGTTGATGCTGTATTTACTTTTGTAAAAGTTATTGTTAATTATATAAAATATTTTATTGTTTCTTAGGATAAAAGATGTAAGTTTTTCTTTTCAGTAGTCTTTGTAAGGTTTATCTTAGGAACAGTATCTCAGCATATCTATGGGACTAGGAGTTGTGGTAAACATTATGGACTATTTATATTGTAGCTGCAATGGATTGAGTAAACTTGGGTAATAAATTTAATTGGCTGGGAATTAGTTATAGATTGTTATTGTCTAAATCAAGACTCCTGTTGAGTATTGTGAACACTCTGAAGATACAAAAACAGCCTTAGAAAGTTCCATCAAATTACCAGAACTCCTTAACTAGATGATGCAAATTCAAAAATCTTGGTTTTAAACTAAGCTTACCAAGTCTGTCTCATTCTCAAAAACAAACCATAGTCTGAAAAATACTCATAAAGAAAAATAAGTATGGCATAAATATCATCCTTATGAACTTGGCTGCAAAGATAACAAAGATAAATCATAAAACAAGAAATGCAGAACCTACTTTTTCTGTCTTCAGAGTGAATTGGGAAGAATGGTTGCTGGTTGCCTGTTTTAACAGGTGAGGCACAGTTATACATGGCTACCTTTTCAACCAACTGAAATTAACATACATCACATCTTGCAACTTTTCTCTGCTGAGCATGTTTTCCCTTTTTTGTTAGGCAAGCTGTAGCTCGCTTAAAACCAAGTTCTACGTTTAGCATGGCAGCAGGGCATTCTGGCATGCCCAGTGTTTGTTGCATGAATGCCTTTACTATTCCTGTGTACAGAAATATTAAGTCATGAACAAAGCTTTAATAGCAAGTAATGTTTTGTAATGCTGTCATAGAATATTATGGCTAAAACATAATGATAAAAAAATGTTTTGTTTCAGATTTTAGATTAAGAACATGGACACAGAAATATGTTATTTATAGCTATGCAATTTGTGTTTCATTTGTCCTGAATTTTTTCTTTTGTTATTTTAAATATTATTCTAAAAAAAAATTAATAAACTTTTTCAGTATCGGTAATGAATTTACTTATGTTTTAATCTTATGTATCACTTATTAATTTCTTTATTCAGGAGAAATTTAAGAAGACAATGGATCAAATTGCTGAACTAACTGAGAGAAAGCAACAGTTAGAACACTTAGTAACTCAGCTTCAGGGAGAGAGTGACACAATTGGTAGTTTTTATTGCTGATAAGCTATGAAGCATTGTCATTGATGTTTCATATCTACTTATACTTTGACATGATTCTAGAAATATCTCTAAGACGAAAGACATATGATAATAACTGAGTAGTGATAATGTTCTGTATTAATAAATTATTTATCGGGTTCATTATTTGAATTTTTATAATCCAACTCTTTATGCTTTCTTAATGTGTAGTATCCCAATAAATAATAAATTATTAATACTAATAAAGGATAAATTATTATATTTATTCAAATATGAATTTTATTCAAATATTTTTATTTTGAAAGATAAATGTAACTTGTAGAGATTTTATAGAATAAACAAATTTTCATATTAAAACATTACCAGAAACAAAAAGTTATATTTAATATTTTTCAGCTGACTACGTAGCTTTGTATCAAGTACAGCGAGGCATCATGAAAACAGAAGGAGCTGAAAAAGATGAATACATAGCTCAGTTATCAAAGGATTGGAAAAGCATAAAGGTTAATTATTATATCATTCATATTTGAGATGACATAATTGATAGAACCCCTTTTTTTAACCCTTTGCACACTATATCGAAAAATGTTAAAATGTATAAAACATAGTTTTATAGAAATTGTCATCTTTTATTACTGCCTAAAGAATCAAGTGTTTGCTAGTATACAGTATTACACATTTCAAAAGTTTTCTGAGTTTTTTAAAATTTTCTGTTGTTACCTGAAGTTCATATTGAATTTCACAGTCATGCCCCAATAACTTAGGATTTGTTTTTAACTTTGTTATTAAATTTTTTTTTGGATAAAGGTAAGAGAAAAGATATTAGAGAATTATATGTAACATGAACTTCTTAACACTTAAACTGTCATTAAGACTAGATTTTAATCTGTGTATGGTGAAAGTTTTCACTTAAACTGTCATTAAGACTAGATTTTAATCTGTGTATGGTGAAAGTTTTATAATGCAAAACTTTTAATAATTTCCTGTTATTTAAATTATATTAAGCTGTTACAGAAGAACTGGAATTTGATAGAAGGACAGTTGATAGATTCTTACAATTGTATTTTTATACTGTTGAACGAGGTCCCGGAGTCTCGTTTTTTGTCTCCTAGTGGGTTAGCAGTAACTTTATGGACTTACAAGGCTAAAATGTGGAGTTTGATTCCCCGTGGTGGACCGAGTACAGATAGCCCATGTTGTCTGCATGTTTTCTCTTGCTTTCCACGTTAGATTTATTTTTTGCTTAACATTTCTGAAATTTGCTGCTTATGTCAATTACATATAGCTTAGATGCTGTAAAACATAGTACCTGAATGCCACAGATTAAGGTATTAAGCTAAATATTTGGTTTAATGATCAAGAATTTTACATGGAATAGTTTGAATTATATACTTATTTTTCTATATGATACTGTCCATTTTAAATTTTCTAACTAGTGACCATTGAAGGGCAATTTCTGAAATCATTTACAGATTATGGTGGAGAACAGGAAAATGCAGTTGAGGTAAGAGTATGGCAAAGGTTACAATAGGAGAGAGGCTTTCTCCAGGACTGAAGCTTTTGCCAGCCATGGTGAAAGTTATTATTGCATTCTGAGGTGGCTATGTACAACTGCAGTTGCTGAGTCTTGGTCTCTACTGTTTACCTTCCACATTCAAGATCATAGGATGGTACAAACGAGCCATGGTAGCAATTGGCAGTCTGGCCCACCTGTTGAAAATGCTCGGGTTATAGGGTTTTTATTCATTTCTATCAAGACTTCATGAACCTATGTGTTTTTCTAACATCATGAATATGGTAAATGAAGTCCACCATGAAGATCCATAGTAGAGCATGATCTTATAGATCCTTGGAGCTGCAACTACTCAAAGACTATGTTTGGCAATGCAGAAAGGAGTGATAATGTGCATTCTATGCATCCTGGCTGCTGACTTTGATTGAAGATACCTCATTTATCAAAATGCATGTGTTTCCAGGCTTGAGAAAAGAGATGCAACTGGAGGATGTTCCCACCAGCCTGAGGGACTTTGCTGTAAGGTGAAGCCTAATGCTTCTTGTTTCTATGACTGTTGACATGTGGATAGGTGGGCTTGCTGAAGCCATTGAAAGCCACTTGGAAGTTCAGAATTTTGCAAAGTTCTATGATGTGTTTTATTAGGAACACATTGCTCACTAGAGCCTGAACTTGCTACAGATGTTTGCCAGGAAGCTAATAGTAACAGACATAAAGAAGTACTTTTGATGACAACACTCAAACTCTTTGTGTGTAAAGATGCTAACCACAGGCATCTGTTGTCACTACCATAGCTCAGTAGTAGAGTACCAAAATGAAGGAATACTTTGCAATTAAGCATCTGAAATATCCATAGACTTTTGATACTTTGTCTCTCTTAAGAGAATCGTGATTACTTGTTCATTCAGAATGAAAGAAAACAAAGTGCACCAATTGATTTCAAATAATTTGGATTTAGAAATATGTTTAATTTGTAAAATACAACTATTTTCAGACTTTGTCGATAGTACTGAATGTTTATCCTGAACAAGATATGTTATACATATTTTTTATACATGATCTTTTATTTTCTACATTTAGCTGAATTTTTATGACTTTTTATTTTTTTAACAGGAATATAATTTTAATTTATTTGTGAAATTCTGTGTGATTTCACTCCTTTATTCATATTTTAGTTAAATTGTTTGGGAAGAATATTGAAGTTTTAGTGTTCTTTAAGTTCTTTGGCCTCCAGGGCTGGGAGTTATAAATACCAACATAATTCATTTTTTACTGTTAACTTCCCCAGTGGATCCAAGGCTCTTTTATGCAACTGGACATTGGTGGGAGACACTGTATTGGCCGGCAGTGGCAGCCAGTCATAGCTGAAGGTATTGTTGTGGTATTAGTATATGCCCAGTCTAAAGTATGATGATCTCAAGTGTTGACCCTTTGAATTGAAGGCTGCTGGATTGCATATTCAGAGCTGTTGGGACAACAATGATTGGGTAAGGTGCATAGATGAATCTGTGCTCACCATTTCCCCTCACAATCACATGGTTTTGAGTTCAATCTAATGTTGCTGATTGAATTTCTGATCTTGCCATATTTTAACATTTTTGAACTTGTTGATTGAGGTGTAAATCTTATGAGATGACTGTCTGTTGTTAATGTGAGGATGCTGTTAGCTACCATTAGGCTTGCAAACCTCTTTAATGTGTCACTGAGCCAATGAAGTGAAACCTGTGGCTGGAGAGCACAATCTGCAGTGACAATCCTGTTGACTAGCTCTACATGTCAATGATAATATATATATATATATATATATATATA